TGTGAGGCAGTTGCTGGTCATGTTGGAGCGGGGGAGGGGGGGGGCTACCCGCTCCAACATGACCAGCAACTGCCTCACAGACTGGGCATCGGATGAAAGAAAGCGATGACCCGAGTTGCCTGATGGCACACTAAAGCACCACTGCCGGCACAGAGGACATTATAGAACGTACTTAAGGTGGTGGACTCCTGTAAAAAAAGGACTCTCACAATCTGACGCTAACTAACACAGTTCATCTGCATACACACACGACCTAACATATTAGCTAAGCCTGTTTACACAGTGGCCTCACCATTAATGTGGACACTCTACTGACCAACACTGACGATGCTTTAAAGGACACAACGGAATAAGCATGTCCACACAGTGACCTCACTAACACTAGAGGGGCTCATAACCGACCAAACCTGTTTAAATCGTGTTAACCTTTCTTTAAATATATAAAAAATGTGCATGCTTTCTCATATACCTCACTATTATAGATCATAACGGAATGCTGGAGGATTGCCGTTGGGGTACCTCACAAGCGACTGTACTATAACTATGCACTGCAAAAAAAAATTGAAAAAATATAGAGCTTTGCTTCTTTCCCGAGCTCCTTTATTCTTCTAACAGGTCCAAGTCAAGTTTGTCAAGTCCACCAGTCATCATGTGATGACTACACTCCCCCAATGATTATTTAAATCTTGCTTGTCTATCTGTGGGCACATACCCTTCTTCATACCTTTTCAAATAACCTTTTCATATATACTTTATGGAACTAGTGTCTCAAAGTCAAAATATTTGGAGGACTTTGGCCAAATCAGCTTCTCCCTTAGGTAACAAGACTGTAGGTATAGATGGACGCATTAACCAAGGCTTGAGAAAGAATGTAATACTGGAAGAAAAAAAAACATAATACATAGTCACAGAGGGAGTAAACAAAATGCAGAATAAGGGTAATTTTGTCTCTCTAGAGCTGCCCACAGTACCATGGAGATTACTGGAAGTTGTTGGTGAAAATGGAGGTTATCTCTTGCAAAAGTGATGGGATTTAAAAAAGTTTCAAACCAACAAGTAATACAATTTGTGCTAATATGTCTCTGTCATAGACATTGTTGGACAGCCTATGAGTCATGAATCATGAAATCAAACCTCTTATACCGAGATTAAATATGGAGAAGCTGGAGGTGACAAGTACATCTTCATCTAGGGTAAAACATATCTAGTTATGCCCCTATCACCAGTCATAACATATGGTAATTAAATGTCTTGCAGTAGGGTCCATCTTAATATAGTGATAACCCTGTAACAACATGTGTAGAAATAAATCACATTTTCCCATAATATTTGGGCATCACTTTTTTACTGGCAGCTTCTGCCACTTGCTTAGATCTATAGCTAAATCCATGTGAGAACACCTCTATATTAAAATATGTTTAAAAGTTTCCACAATCTGCCTCTTTATGCTAACAATGCACTATTGGACATTGCTATTAGGTCTCCTCTGCCTTGGAAAAAGATAAAAATTAAAGATTACATTTACCTTGAATCCAGTGCTGGACGATGCTCCTGCTGCTGATCTCCCTCCTCCGTCTGGTGTCACAGGTGACCTCACACGGTCCAGTTACATGCTTCTCATAGAAAAGGAGGTGGTAGGGAATGATTTGAGGAGGTAGGGTAATTCTAATAAGAAAAAACAAAATACATGCAAAGGAGGTAGTGCACAGTGGGAGGGAGGGAGAAAGGGGGCTCTGCCTGCAAGGGAAAATATTATTACATCTGCCATTGTAGCATGCAGTGTGCACTGATGACAGAAATAAAATATGCACAGAATTGGCATTAGGTAGCCCAGAGTTTTGGGCTGCCTAAGTCACATGTACCAGGGGGTGTAGCTAGCAAATAACTCTGAAAGTGCAGTATTTCAAGCAGAAACAGTGCACATTAATTACAGAAGTGGTCATGGTTGTTAAAATAACCCTTTAACTAACATGTTATTAGTAATTTCTCTGGTATTACTCTCTTTCATTTTTCACATATAAATGGTTAATGGTGCCAGGCAAATTTATCGCTGTCTAACCCCTGGGCCCTAGATTGCTGCTTAGGGTCACCTTATGGGTAATCCTGCTCTATTTAAAAGTGTTTAGTATTTGGATGTTAAGTCTTTGCAGCTGCAAAGTCTGTTAAAAATACCAGTAGCTACATTAGGTATTTACGTGATATATGTTACCAGGTGTATTGCAAGTCTAAAATAGCTTTGAGAAATGATTGTTTAAGAAAATATTTTTCAGAAAAAGAACTGTAAGACAAATGATACATATTCTTGAGTTCATTTTATTTATTCACTTCTTTCCAGGTTCTGCACCTGAGAATCTAGACAATGCTACACTTAAGGCAACGTGAAGTGCTCTGCCACGTCATCTTAGTGTACATAAAGTGGTACTGACGAATGACGATACTAACTGCGGTTCAAGATGTTGCCATGTGATCCAAAAGTTCATTTGAAAGAACCAAGAAAAGAATAAAATGGATTAACGATATATCTCTGAAATTGTGAAAGTGGGCATTCTTTATCCAGAGAGTCACTTTCTATAATATTGTTAAAGGTCATTTCTATTTACACACATTGCAGTGTCACAGTGCTACATTTATATTTACATTATGACTTATGAGACACTACAAAGAATTTAGTAATAGGTCATTCTTTGCTAATGGGTCAAACAGTAGATAAACTATCAAGTAGGGAACTGGGCCATAATATATTTAGGACCCACCACCACAACTGGTATTTCTTCCACTGTTGTTTTCATAGCAAGTTTTGAAGTTTAATCTCTGGTAGATAGTATCATCTCTGATATATGTGTATATGGTGTAATAGATCTGTTTTTTTAGAGCTCTCTCCAAGCCTCTGTTTCAGTAGTTACAAAAATTGTCACAAATCAGAGCCTTCATTCTCTGACAAAAGAACAGAGAAGAGAAGTCTGTGCTCTAACACTCAAGTCTCCCATAGAGATGTCACCTCAGCCATGATTTATCTCGCCAGCTATTCACAGGATTTTACAGAATTTCCAAGATTTGAGAGAAAATTAATTAATTAAAAGACTCTAAACACCATTACCACTATGGCATGTTGTAATGCTTATGGTGCCAAGAGTGCCATAGTGCCCTCCACAATGTAAGTAGTTAATCCATTTCCTAAGGGTTTGACTTCTTACCCGAGGTTTGCCAGATGCAATTCCATACCTGTCCTCCTCCTGTATGCAGAGTCAGGAGTTCCATCAAGGAGCTTAGAGCTGAGTGCTTCAGAAAGACAGGCAGTGATGCTTGGTGGCTCCATGTAATAAGTCAAACTGTAAGCAAATAGTTTGACTATATTCATTCTGGGAACGCCAGGTATGCTGTAGTGGTTATGGTGATTGGACGCACGGTCCTTTAATCAAGCAGGGAATCTCAGAACAAATGCTGTTGCAATTAAATGGTTTTCCTCTATAAATTCTACATACCAGTTGACAGCACTATTAGAATACTTACTGCCACAGCTGGTTTTGGATGGATGACAAAAGGTGCAATGCACCCATACCCATACCCGTGCTGACATCACAAGTCCATATTTAGAAGCACAGCAAACAGCAGCAATAATTTGGTTTTGCTGGCCACATGTGCGTACTCACCTAACTTATGTCGGTCAGTGACATGCAGGACCAGCAAAGTGAGTCACCATCAAACTATTCCTGCTGTCTATGTCTTGACTAACCCCTCAGGAATGTAGTTCACGGACTGAAGACTCTGGACAGTCAAGAGCCCAGCTGCAGCTGTGCAGTCAAAGGCTGGTTGGGAAGATCAGCCGATCTTTGTAACTGGCATACATTAGTGGTTCAGCACAAGCTATAGTTGGGTGGCCCATGGTATAAAGGGCCCCAAATTCTAGATTTAACTGCCTTTAACGCTCCCAGCTATTAACATTCTCTTTGCACGATGACTCCTATTCTTGTATTACAGTTGTGTATGTGGACACAGGTGAGGATAGGAATCTTTTATCAAATCCTCACTCACTGCACATGGAAAACCAGCACAATCGTGGGAATTACCTAAGAGTCTGCCATTAAAACAGGAGGAACTGCAGCAACATCTAGGCCAGACAAGCTCAGAGGGAATATACGGCCAATAAAAGGAATAGGAAGAGGGAGACGGCGTGGAACGAGTTACAAATGGGGATGGACAGAAAGACACAGGTGGGGGGTGGAATAGAAGGAGAGAAATAGCGTAGAGTAGTGGGACAGAAACAGTTGATGGATAGTGTGATAGATAAAAGTATGAGTGATGGGCAGAATACACTAGGCCTAGGGAGTGGAAAAAATGAAAAGAATAAGGATAGGAAAAGACAGGTAAGAGATCTCTACTAGTAAAGGGAAGCCCCCATAAAAGCTAAAAGAAATAAGTGAATAGTAGTAGGTAGGAAAGCCTACACGTACTAGGAGATCTCTTACCAGGTGCTAAAAACTAGTAGAAATAATATCGGCAGAATTAAAACATATTTTATTTTATGTTTTAATTCTGCCTATATTATTTCTACTAGTTTTTAGCACCTGGTAAGAAATCTCCTAGTATGTGTGTAGGCTTTTCTACCTACTACTATTCAATGATAGATAAAAGTGGTGGTTGAGAATGAGAGACAGAAATGTGAAAGCTGGCATAGATACACTGACATTCAAATACATGTTTGTATTCACATGCAGATACAATTATTTTCATGCATTAACAGATACATTTACACTCCACACACTGTGCAGAGAAGCAGCCTCCACCGAGAGCTTGGTTACGCTACAGGTACTGGCTTTGTATGACATGTATGTGTGTGTACAGCTGTGTATACATGGTATTATGCCCTGGAGACAGGGGCAGATCAAGAGACCAAATTCGGCAGGGGCACGCTTGTATTTTGTGACAAAATCTTAAAAGGTGGAAAGTTGGAAACACACATCCAGGAATACAAAGTCTGCTATAACTCTGACATCAATGAACTTATTTCTGCTTGATAGATTAATTAAATGCTTCCTTTTCCCTGTAGCAGGCTTAACAAGTGGTGGCCATGGAACTTTTCAACAGCGTGGATAAAACCATTTAGGGACCTTAGTTAGCCCCTCGCTACCAGCCAGACATAAATTCCCTGGGTTCTTGGGGAAAGCATTTGTCCTGGTGCACTGTCCATGTAGAGCTGTGCTTGCTTTTGAACACCTCCGTGGCAATAAATAATTTTTCTTCCCATTTTAGGGTAGAGTTGGGATTTTGTGGAGTTAGAGATGATGCTAATGGTTTTTGTTGAGTTAGAATTGCTTACCTATTTCTTTATTAGTGCATAGGTGCTCGAATGTGGAGATCAGGTTCTGAGCAATGCTCATGAGACTGTTACAAAGATTTATTTTGATTGATAGTATCGGAAAAAGCAAGGCTTGCCTAAAATTAGTTCTTCAAAAAGTGTGGTGCATGTTTTACATTGGGACCTGCAAAACAGATCCCTGAAAGACATAAAATGTTGCCTTTTAGTGGAACCTGGAACTAAATCTGGAACTCTGTATTTCAAAGATCTTAAAAACGTTATCCAAGAGAATTAGGGAAATTGTCAAACTTGTGATTCCATTTTCTGGAAGTGTAATTTCGAGTAGGTGCAGGAATCTGTTTACATGTCATATTTCCCAACATGCTTATCTGCAAAAATGTAATAAACATTGCTCTTCTTTTATTGGTATTGTATGTGTTAACAAAGAGCATCATAATCTTTGGATTTTCTCAGTACCTCATTCTACATGTACTGACAGTGAAAATATTAATAAAAAATATTTGGAAAAAAATGGCTTACACCTAGGTTTATTCTGTCATACTTGATTTCCTAAATTGAATATGTTGTTTTAGCGAGAGTGAAAATTTCCCTGCCATCGTCTAATACTTTGTCTTAAAGGGCACCTGTCATGCCCCAAACAACTTATACTCATTAGATTGAGCATGCAATTCTATCTATACATTGTGCTAGCAAATATATAGATTAGGAGTAAAACCTATTTATAAATAGGTTTTTCTCCCAGCTGTCAGTCAATGCCTCAGCATGAAGAGGTATTGGCTGACAAGGGAGAGCAGAAAAGGCCTCCCAAAGGAGGTCCCTTTGCGTTGTGTTTGCTATGGAAACTTCCTTCTAGCACTGGCTAGGGAGTACAGGAACGGAGTGACGTGACGTCATTCCATTCCCACACCGGCATGCTGGCAACAAAGCCAACTTGCCTACATCACTAACGAGATTTGCCCTGCTTGGGAATGCAAATCAGAGCATTCTGTCATTTAAGCTCAAGTGCTTTATGTGTCTGGAGCAAGACACATTTGTAACATTTTAAACATTTTTAGGTTTCACTAGAAATCTGCACTTTTATATTTGGGTGGGAGAAACACCTCCGTGGCTGTCAATTAGACGGCCAGAGTAGTTTTATTCCTCTATCCTTAGCTCTGCAGAGCTAGAGGAAATGGTGGACATGCTGTGGTAGTTTATCTTCCCTCCTTCTCAGTGGGTTATATTCCAGTTTATTAAGAAACATTGAAATATCACGTGCACATGCACTCATGTGCTTGAGCGGTTGCTGATCCAACATATTGGAGTATTGGAATATTCACAACAGAGATTAGATCATTGTATGCCCTAAGGGGAAGGTGTGGAAAAACTGCAGACAAGAGATCTGCAGCTTTTAAAGCTGCTTTTAGATTCCCAATGCATAAATACAGAAATTAATGCATGCATGTTTTCATTGGGGGCATATCTACTAAATTGTGAAAACAATGATAAAGCTGTAAAGTTGGTTTTACAAATAATTATATGTTTACAGAACACTAGACATATAAGCATCAAAAAAGATGTGTAATTTTCTGTCTTGCATTTTAAGGGTTAAAAAAAGAAAAAACAATCTTGTTCAAAGAATTTTCTGACTTTTATAATCTCAATGAATCAACATCTTTTCGTGGAGGAGAATAGCTGGAATGTGCCTATGGTTGTCAGTCCACTTCTGCCGGAGTTCAGGGAAAGGTGGTTGTCTCTGTTTTAGCAAAGAACGATTAGTATTCCAACTATGAATGAAGGATTAACATTTCAAAAAGGGTGTCAGCAGGCCCATAGTCTGTTTTTAACACACGGCCCATGTTCTTTAAAAATCTGCCGTGTGCACAATTTGCATGCATCGACCTGCAAAATCTTACCTTTCAATTGTAAATAAAGCATGCCGAAGAAAATAATATAACAAAAAAAAAGTTAAACATATGTAAGAACAGGAAAAAGATGAATGTTAGTTTAACACTGTCATATCAGATGAGTTATGGAAAATCATATCTGATTTATTTCAAATGCCAGCTGATCTATTGGGATCTGACTTAACTATTCCTTCACAACGCGCAATAACATGTATTATCTGGGGTCTTGGCATGAGATCACTTTCTTTAATTAACGTGAGACCAGCAAAGGCATAATACGGTTGTTTAACTGTTGCTCTTTTTTTTTTTTTTTATTTAGTACATCTTAAATGTCGGTGACTGACATCAGAAAACCTCAATGCTTATTTTAACATGTCAAACATATGATTAATTTAAAATATAACCAGAGCGTGCTCTTTATTCAAAAATGTCTGTAATGAAAGCAATGAAGATAAGTGATGGCCTCATCATTGTTCAGCAAGTAATCCCCATGGTTCAAGATGAAATTAAAAGCATTTCAACGCAACTAGGAAGTGAAAAGAATAGTTTAATGTATTAGAAGAGAGCAAGTAATATTATGGACAGTGCACGTCTATACAAAATGCAAAAAATATGGAGACATTCCTACATTGGCTAAAGCAGAAAAATTAATCTTAAAAAGAATGTAAAATGGCATTTGGCTAGAACTGGACTAACAGCTATCTTGGTGCTAAAATGAAGACATTGTTGAACTGGGGTTATGATTGTCGGGTTTACATTAATTTAAATAGTTCAGTAAAAAGGATGTGTTAACATTCCATCGTAAAAATATTGTTCTAACACAACAAATATAAAAGCATAGTCCTAGTACAGCACCAATTTCAAGAGTGACTTTTTTTTTTCACCTACACCTACATCCGGATTCTGTGTACACTCAGGATTCTGTGTACAATCAGGTTTCTGTGTACACTCAGGATTCTGTGTACACTCTTGTCCCTCTGCATTATAGGAATGTGTGGTCACATCATAGGATATTCCACAACACCCTATGTTCAAATGTTGCATGTCTTTATGGCTGATGTCCTGTAGATCAGGGGTGCCCAAAAGGTAGATCCCCAGATGTTGTAAGACTACAACTCCCTATGATGCTTTGCTCTGCTTTGGAAGCGTAATGAGTTGGGTATGGAGAGAAGGTAGTGATTTGGGTATAGAGAGAGGGTAGTGAGTTGGGTATAGAGAGAGGGTAGTGAGTTAAGTGTAGAGATGTCGCGAACGGTCCGCGAACTTCTCGCGAACGGTTCGCCGCGGTTCGCGGTCAACTCCGGTCAGCTGACACATCCCGGCCAATCTCCGGCAGACCCTCCCTCCCAGACCCTCCCACCTCCTGGACAGCATCCATGTTGAAGCTGCCTTCAACATGGATGCTGTCCAGGAAGTAGGAGGGTCTGGGAGGGAGGGTCTGCCGGAGATTGGCCGGGATGTGTCAGCTGACCGGAGTTTGCCGCGAACGGTTCGTGGCGAACCGTGGCGAACTGTTCGCGAGAAGTTCGCGGACGGTTCGCGACATCTCTAGTAGAGTGCAGAAAAAGGGTTGTGATTTTGGTATAGAAATAGGGTAGTGAGTTTGTTACAGAGAGAGGGTAGTGAGTTGGTTACAGAGAGAGGGTAGAAAGTGGGGTACAGAGAGAGAGAGTAGTGAGTTAGGTACAAGTTTGCTGAAAATGTCAGCTTCCCCCATGTTTCCAAAAAGTAAAAAAAAGTTTCAATGAAATATACTGTAAGAAAAAATGGGGTAGGGTACATTGTAATATTACAAAGTAAAGTTGGAATTGGTAAGTAACAGGGAGCATATTTTGTTTAAATGAAAAACACACTGAAAATTAATCACTTTGCTTAAACTCCCATTGCTATTAGGCGGTAGCAATGACTATAGTACTTATCAACCCAAATACATATTACAAAACCATAGTACATCAGGTTTCACGAGTGGATATGAACACACTCCCAGATTTCCACCAGTGCTAGTGCAAATTTATTTTCTGCCTCTGTGTAGTCATTAATCGGTAAGAAGCGTAACTGGGACCATGGCTGCAGAGGAAATGGCTTTTGAATCGCTTAGTAAATAAGAGACAAGATAGTTTGCCATAAAGTAAAGAATTTGGGGCATTCCTATCAGAAGTTCAGGTATTTACCCCTTTCTACAAAGGTCGGGGATCCACATGTAAAAAAATAGGTCTTGCAGAAGAGTCCATGCTCATGACCTATCATCTTCTTCGCTCCGTGTTTTTTGGCATTGTTGAATATGGACTTATTGAACAGTTTGATGATAAGTAAGTAGTTGTAGCAAGCCAAGCCCTCCTATGTTTGATTTTATATAAAGAGTAGCTCTACTTATTCAAGGCCTTTGAACTTTTCAAATACATTTGTCTATCTGGGCTGGAGAGAAGCAAAGCCAGACAAGTCTTAAAAAAGGTATAAAAAGCAAGGGATTATATTAATTTTGATGGAGGCCACCTTGCATAGCCAGAAAATGGCAATGGTCTGCCAATGGTGGAGGACTCTGTTGGCCGAACGTATTACAGGGAAGTAATTGAGGTCATATACGGAGGATAGATTATTTGAAACATTGATGCCAAAATAAACTGTGAAACGGGAAATGACTTTGAAATTGTAATTCTGATTTATCGAAGCTAAGCTTCAAGCCAACATTTTTGTAATGGTAAATTTGATGAATGTTCTTTTTCTATAGCAAAGTAATATTGTTATTCTGACAATATAAAGCAACTATCTGTGACAGTTCATAATGTGAACATTAAATCAACTGTTCTGATTGTTAATTCAAACTGAGGACTGGGTTTTATTTCGTAAATATCATATATTTACTGAAAATAATTATGCATATAAGCAACATATTAAATGTAAACACCACACGTGCTAGAATTTATAAATAAGAAGCCACAGGCTATATAACTGGTTAACATAGATATATAAATACTCTTTGGAAAGTAGTCATAGTCTAAATCAAATCTTTGTTTCATTTGACTCAGAATATTCGCTGCTTTATCCATGCGAAACAATGTAAAGATGAAAGAC